TGATACTCCTAATGGGGTTGGGGGATGAGACATGAAGAGTGAAGTGACCACCTCCTAGCCAGGCAGGACTAGTGGAAGGAGGGGAACAACAACCCACTGAGCAAACTTTTGATCCAAAAATTACCCTGCCTACAATAAATGCAGGAATAAAGAGGAAACGAAGATTGAGAGAGTGTCCAACCAATGATTGGCCCAACCTGAGACATACCCCACAGAAGAGAATCAGCTCTTGACACTATTAATGATGCTCTGCTATGCTTGCAGACAGGAGACTAACTTAATTGTTGTCTGGGAGTCTCCAGCCAGCAGGGGATCTAGACAGATGCTGGGACTTACAGCAGGCATGGGGCAGAGCTCTGGGTGTCCTGTGGAGATGTTGGGGGAAAGATGGAAGGACCCAGAGGGAACAGGAACCTCACAAGAATACCAACAGAGACAACTAACCCAAACCCATGGGAGCTTACAGAGACTGGGACATCAACTAAGAAGCATGCATGGTCTGGACCTAGGCTCCCTGCACTTATGTGGCCAATGGGTGGATTGGTCTTCATATAGGTCACCTGGCGAGTGGAGGGGGCATGTTTCTAACATGGACTCTTCTTTTGGATCACTTCCTCCTGACAGTTCTGCCTAGCCTTGCCTCCAGGGATGAGGATATGCTCAGTCCTGATGTGACTTGATGTGTTGAGATGGGCTGATATGGGGAGAGGCGAATCCCCTTTTCTGAGGGAGAATGGTGAGCACAAGGCGAAAGGAGGAGAATGGGGTATTAAAGGAGAGGAAGGAGGGGACACTTTTGGGATGTAAAGAAAATAAACTGAAATAAAATTTTTAAAAATTTAAAAAAGAATTGTAGTTATGGCAATTCATAGGCTCTTGTCACAATAAGGAAAGCATTTTCTGTTTCTGGAGAAGCATGCCCTGCCTAGCAATGTGCTCATGCTGCAGAAGAAATCATGGCTTTGTGTTTCCCAAAGGCTAAGATAATATCTGAAAATAGATATTTAAGATAATCTATTTATATTATATTTATATATTATATTTCAGATAATATCTGAAAGTATATATTTAAATGCAATGTTATTTTTTTCTTATACTCTTTCAACAAAGAATAAACAAAGCATAGTTTTTTCTAAAGTATGTGGCCATAAGAGATTCCCCTACCCCCATGAAACCAGTATCACATAAAACAAATGAGATGGTCATAGCAGCCACAAATTTTCTCAATACCACAAGAGACTTGGACAAGAGACTGTTGCCAAAGTTGTTTCCTCTTGGGTCCTGGGAGAGATGCCAAGAAGATCTTGATGTTGTATAAAGTCCTCAGATGAACAAAGACTTTCACAGCTTGATGTGCCCTGGTCAAGAACATTACCCACAAGAAGGCCATGGGAGTTCTGGCCTCAGAGTGCTGGAAGATCCTGCCTGGTGCCACCATAGTGGACACAAATGTGGTCTTAGTATCCAGGGACATCCTCTCATATAGCCCTGGCCATCTGCTAGAAAGCAGCAGGGTAATCTGTGTCCATTGGGTTCTTCTAGATTTAGGGAATGGCTTCCTCATAGTTATTCAATACCTGAATCTTTTCTTTGTACTTCTTCCTATTTTAGACTCAGTGAAGAATCTCTTTTCACATTTTATCCCATCAGAGGCTGCTAAGCCAAGGTAAGTTGTCCCTCTTGCAGCATCCATAATATATAGACAGCTCTTAGCTACAGTTATATTTAAACTGTAAGTGTTTCATGTCTTTCCATCCATCAATTCCAGCAGAACAGAATGATAGTATCAATTTTCTGAAGAGAATAATAAATAAACTGTTTCCTGATGCTGGGTCATAAATGAATACCCCAATGTATGACCACTGCCCTTAGATTCTTGCGAGTTCCCTAGCCTCCCTACACTAGGAACTCCTTGGATTTTCTTATGTAAGTAGGTAGAGCTTGGTTTTGCTTACATAGCTAGATAGAGCTCAACATATTCATCTCAATTTCTTTAAAAATTACTCATTAGCTGGTGATTTCGCTCTTGTTGTGTTCCTGTATGTCTGCTATGAGGGTGATTTCCAGTAGCCCATCAACTTCTCATTTGATAACCTTGTTCTACCCAATATATTTCGTATGAACAACTGGGGTGAAATGTACAGTTATTTATAATCCTCCTGACAAACATTCAGACATTATTTATTTACTGTTTTGCTTAAAGATGGCTCCTAAACTCCTTACTGCTGTGTGTGCAGTTCCCGTGATCTGGACCCTGACAATTCTCCCTTTTCCTTCCTGCCACACAACCCTTTTCTTTCAGTTTGTGAAACACACACACTGTATCTTGTTTGTGTATATGCTGGTATGCTGTGCCTTTTTCCCTCTATGCCTTTTCCCCCCTGATACATTCACCTGAAATACCCCATCTTTCCCCTGATAGATTTCAGGATATATTCAGAGCTTATATTATCTCAAGAACATGAGATAGGCATCTCTATATGTTCCTTTCTGTTGTGAGTGTTTCAGGTAAAGTGTATTGTTGTATCATATCCTCATTCCATCTTCAATGGCTTGTGCTTATAAGGAAATTTCCTAAAAGAATCATAAATTTTAAGTGTTGAAAAGTGGTGACAAGACCACTCTGACTTTGTCTGTGGGTTAGTGAGCCTCATGGTTGATGATGTGGTTCAAACAGACCTGGGCTTTGGGATAATTCTGACTGCATTCCTCTTTAATTAGGAGCTGTTCTTTTATGTGTCTGAGCTTCAGTGCCTCCTCTGGAAAATTAAAGTACTGAGTCTCTTTAACATTATCTTATGAATTAAATGCTGCACTTTATAAACTGTAGTAAGCAAACTTCCTGACCCTCTAATGAATTCTTCCTGATTTCTTTTTCCACACTGATTTCTTCTTACACTGATTTTCACAGTGTAGCAACAGGAATCTCATTTTAGTATGGGTCTCTTTCACCTCTAGTCTTCAAGTATTAGACTCTTCAGTTCAAATGTCACACCCTCAGAGGTCAAAAGCAAATCCCATTCCAGATCATATGTTGTTACTTTTTGGCTTTTAATATTTATAAGAAAATATTTAATGTGCTTCCATTTTATCTTAAGTAATTATGTGTCCCCAAGACCCTATTTTTAATAATTGCAATAATAAATTTATTTTATTAAGTGCAGCAAAATAATATGTTACAAATTCCCCTTACTGTATTTGAGTTTTTTTAAAATTTTTTTATTTATTACAATTTATTCACTTTTATTCCACCCGTAGCTCCCTCCCTCATTCCCTTCCAATCCTGTGCTCTCTCCCTCTTCTCCTCCTATGCCCCTTCCCTAGTCCACTGATAGGCGAGGTTCCCATCTCCTTCCATCTGACCCTAGCCTATCAGGTCTCACCAGTACTGTTTGCATTGTCTTCCTCTGTGGCTTGGTAAGGCTGCTCCCCCTCACGGGGGAGGTGATCAAAGAGATAGCCACTGAGTTCATGTCCGAGCCAGTCCGTGTTCCCCTTACTAGCGTACCCACTTGGAGACTGAGCTACCATGGGCTACATCTGTGCAGGGGTTTCCAGGTTATCACTGTGAATGGTCCTTGGTTGCAGTACCAGTCTCAGAAAAGACCCCTGTGCCCAGATTTTTTGGTTCTGTTGGTCTCCTTGTAGCCCTCCAGTCCCCTCCAGGTCTTTCTATCTCTGCCTACTTTCATAAGATTCCCTGAACTCTGCCCAAAGTGACTCTATTTTTACCCTCACAAACTGAAAGCTCCAGGGCCCCACCTTTCTGTTTTCTCCACTGACTTGGATTAGAACAGTGACCACCCAGTCGCAATATAGATTTATCTTTACTTCTTTTCTGTTTTGTTTTTCGGGACAGAGCTTCTTTGTGAGCCCTAGACTGACTTTGTAGACCAGGCTGACCTCGGATTCACAGAGATTTGCTTGTCTCTGCCTCCCTGGGCACTGGGGATTAAAGGTGTGTGCTTCCATGCACAGCTTACCTTTACTTCTTTACTATGAAGCAAGAGCCTCTTCCACACTCATTATCTTTAACAATTTATAAAAACACCATTTGCTTAATTTCAATTTCATTCTAATCCACAGTGACAGTCACCAAAAATGTTAGTTCTCGTGTCAATGGGAAAGGAAAAAAGTTTCAGAGAGAGGCATGGTTTCAAGAGCAGAGCAAAGACATGGAAAACTTGGGACTGGAATGAAGTCCAGAGACTTCACAGGGATGAGCTTGATTCTCTGCATTCCTCCAATTTCTCACCCCTCAGATGGTGACAGACTCCTTCCATCTCCACTGATGGTAGAAGAAAAAAAAAAAAAAAACCTGTGACATGTAACAGCCACCCAGTGACAAGGAAGAAATCCCAGATTGTGAACAGATGACAGCACAGGAAGGCCAGGGCATCTTTTGAAACAGGCAGCAGTTAACACAAAGTGGGTTTTGCTAGATTACTTTGGAGGTGTTTGTGAAGGCAGCAGAGGATATTAGATAGCACATGGCTTTAGGCCTCACTTGAATACAATTCTTACCCTCCTGTCAGTGGAAACACAGAAATGTACTTAGTATCTCTCTAATACCACGTGATTAAAATGGATAGCATAGAAGCAAAAATGCCTTGTGGGAAATTGAGTTAGTGCACATCATTATGGCACATGCGTCTGTCTAATCCAGTGGTTCTCAACCTTCTTAATTCTGCAACTCTCTAATACAGTTCCTCTTGTATACAGCTGCAGCCGTAAAACTATTTTGTTGCTACTTTATAACTGCAATATATAAACATTATAATGTCAATATCTGACATGCAGGATATCTGATATTTGACACCAGAAGAGTCTCTACCCACAGGTTGAGAAACCCTGAATTCTAACCTATAATATGCTATTAATAAGCAACTGATTCTGCTACTGGTATGCAGAAAAGGCAGGGATAAAAGACATTTTCCAGACCATAGACTCTAACCAAGTGATTCTTTTCTCTCAGAAAGACTAAATCCTGTGCGCTTGATATGGATGTAGAGAACCAGACACGGGTCACCAAGTTTATTCTAGTGGGGTTTCCTGGGAGCTTGAGCATGCGAGCAGCAGTGTTCCTGATGTTTCTTGTGGCCTATATTCTGACTGTAGCTGAAAACGTGATCATCATCCTGCTGGTGCAGCAGAACCGACCACTGCACAAGCCTATGTACTTCTTTCTGGCCAACCTGTCTTTCTTGGAGACCTGGTACATTTCTGTGACTGTGCCAAAGCTCCTGTTCAGCTTCTGGTCCATGAGTAACAGCATCTCCTTCACCCACTGTATGATACAGCTTTACTTCTTCATTGCGCTTATGTGTACAGAATATGTTCTCCTGGCTGCAATGGCCTATGACCGTTATGTGGCCATCTGCCGCCCGCTGCACTACCCCACCATCATGAGCCATGGGCTCTGTTTCCGCCTGGCTCTTGGTTCCTGGGTCATTGGCTTTGGCATCTCTTTGGCGAAGATCTACTTCATCTCTCAGCTCAGCTTCTGTGGCCCCAATGTCATCAACCACTTCTTCTGTGACATCTCTCCAGTACTTAATCTTTCCTGTACAGACATGTCCATTGCAGAGTTGGTGGACTTTGTCTTGGCTCTGGTCATCTTCCTTTTCCCACTGTCAGTCACTGTTTTATCATATGGATGCATTCTGGCCGCTGTGTTACGCATGCCAACAGGAAAGCAGAAAGCCTTTTCCACCTGTGCGTCCCACCTTGTTGTGGTCACCATCTTCTACTCTGCCACTATTTTCATGTATGCCCGACCCCGAGCTATCCATGCCTTCAACATGAACAAAGTTATTTCCATCTTCTATGCCATTGTCACACCAGCCCTCAATCCTTTCATTTATTGCCTAAGGAACAGAGAGGTCAAAGAAGCGCTAAAGAAATTGATCTATTGCCAGGCTATCCGATCTGACTAGTCTGTTATGATGAATTAGAAAGAAGATTATCTTCTTTGTTATACTATGTCCTTTCTCTTTTGATGACCTCAGTCAAGATTAATGATGTTAATATGATGTCACTATGTCCACACCAATCTTGGACACTTGTATGTATTTATGCATGAAATCTATGCTTTAAGGACATATGTACTATGTAGATGTCTATAGAAAAATAATTCTCTTTGACTATAACTCAGCATGGAGTTTATAAGACTAAGTTTAATGTAGATACATTAAACAAGATGTGATGTGGTAATGTGGTATTTGTGTGACTTGCCATGATTTGGGTCCTGCAAGTCTGAGTCTGAACAGTTCTGAGATGAAAAGATTACATGGTGTCCTTGCTTTTCCCATTAACCTGACTGGCAAAGAAAGTGGCTTCCTCAGCAATCCCATTGTCTTTGTGTCTGCAGCCAGTGTCGGTGGCAGAGGAGAGAAGCCTCTTCCTCACATCTATCCAAAACTTTTCTCTAGCACCAACTTACCAGTGTAAATACCACTCCTTAATTGGCCCTCTTTCTGCCAGCAAGAGAATGGCTTTATCCATCTGTGCATAAATTATACATTATATAACCATATCTTGTAGTCTGATACAATTTACGCACTTGTTTCTTTCTTGAAGTCTATATTTCTCTTTAGAATATTTGTTTATATCCTCTGATGTATGAGTGTAAAGTAGATGATGAATAAATCTTTGGCACAGCAATATCTAATGAGAACAAGGAAAATAATAAAGCCAGCACAGCTGCTTGACAAAGACCCAGCAAAGCTGAGCAGAGTGATGCAGTTGCTGTGGTTCAGTCTCACACTCTTGATCTCTATGTGTCGAATGCTTGGGAGTCTTTTATTATTTGTACAACTTGGGGATATTAGATTGTTGGAATTTTTTATGAATCATTTATGCCTTCTCCCAGACGTACTGGTTCTAAGCTTTCCCAGGAACGTCCTGACTGTACTGCCCCTCTGACTTTTAGAAAGATATTTTTATCTGGGCCTACTTGAAGGTCTTCCTTATGCTCTGGACTTAATTATCTGTGACTCAAATAATTATGCCAGAGTCCTCCTTATGAGGCTCTGACTCAAAGATATTCATGGCACATCTGCCCCTGCAATTACTCAGGAACAAAAGAATAAGAACAAAGTAAACTTTAAAAAAATTAAACAATATTTGGTAGGCTAGAGAAGTTGGCAGCAGACCAAATTAAAAGCCTCCTCCTAGTACTGATGGACCAAGAATGGAATGGATAAATGATAAAAAAAATAAAATATTAAGAACTCCCTTTGTTAGAAAAAGTAAACTCATACAAGGTCATTGTGGTGTCATATGACCAAGGAAGAAAGGAATATCAAGATTAGAAATATAAATATATTCTACAAGTATATAAAATATAAACACTGTATGATGGCACAAATTAAGTAATAACTGCAACATCTTTGGCCTGAAGACTTTTCCTGAGCCTAATGACAATAAGCATTCTGGCTCATTAAAAGGTAATAATACACTGCTTGGGACATGACAATGTACCTAGGCTGCTTGAATATTTTCTTTCTGTCTTGTACCCTTGAAACCACAAGAGCTACCACCCTGAGAACAGGCTGTCATGCTTTGGCAAAATATGCCCTTGAAACTGTAATATTGTTTAAAAGTTGGGTTGTGGGATTGATGAGGGAAATTGATTGCAAAAGATAATTCTGTTCTGTCAGAGTTTCTCAATGATGACTAAAGTTATGACTAACCAGAACTCATGTCCGGGGACAAAAATGATACTATCTATGTTTTGGAAAAACATACATTTATCCCTGCCAGCTAAATTCTATATAAATAAAGAACTTTCCAGACTGCCAGTCAGTCAGGATGGAAAATCCTGATCTCTGTGCCTACTCATTTCTCCCTCGTCACTCTTGTATCCACTCTTCTTCAGGCCCTGACCTCACCTGGGGCTGGGCCCAAGCAAATCTTAAATATATTCAATGCTGACTCAACTAGCCTTATTAGTTCCCCTGTCTTCCAAACCCAGGATTTTCTCGTTCATGCTCCTCTTCCTGTCTTTTCATTTACCTGTCCACAGATATAAGTAATAACATAATTTTAAGGAGTGACATGATTTTTCTTTCATGTCACTGTCATCCTCAGCTCTTTATCCAACATCCTACATAAAACATTTTGATTATCTCTGCAGATATGTTATATTTTACAATCTTCTTAACAATAGAAAAGTGAGTTCTACTGTAAGCTACATTCAACATAATGGCTCCTAGAGGTCAGAATTTAATTTTTTTATGAGCACTTTAAACAATAATAAATACTCATTACATCTGTTACAAGTTTTTTTTGAGTAAAAGAAATATTTTGAAAGTAAAAGGTATTTAGGCGGGATTACTTCCTCACTTTACAAGCACCTAGAACAAATATTCAAGGTAGTAAATATTTTCCCCAAAACATTAAAAAGCAAAAGTCAGAAGCTCAGGTCACTTGGTTCTATGCTCTGGGTCTTTCCTCTGTAGTGAAAGGGTCTCCCTAAGGAAAACAGGCTTCTTCAGAGGCCACTTGTGGAAGTTAATTGCAAAGGATTGCGTGGATAATGAACTTCTATAGCACGAGACAGCTAATAAAACATAGTGGACAAATGGGAAGCACAGATCTTAGGAAAGGAAAGGAACAAAGAGAAATAGATACATATTTCACTTTGGGAAATAAATGTGAAAAAGCAAAGGGTGTTCATATAGAAATGATTTAATGTCTGCTTCTGTATGGATTTCATGTCCTTAGTCAATTAAATGTGGTTATGAATGTTTTTGTATTTTAAACACCAAACACATGAAAGGAATTATTTTCTGAATACTTCATATGAATCAAACTATCATAGTACATACAATGGGAATATTAGATGTGATCATTAAAAGTGGCCAAGAATTTTTTTGCTGTGGAAATCAGAAAACCAAACAAGAACAAAACAGTAAAAGACAAATACCATGGAAGAATTGTTTATGCTTTCTGGAACACTGATTCCTTATATGCAAAACAGAATTTGATTATGCTTGAGGAAGACAATGCAGCCCGTCCTGATGAGACCTGATAGGCTAGGCTCAGATGGAAGGGCCTGACCCTAGCCTATCAGGTCTCATCAGGACAGGCTGCATTATCTTCCTCTGTGGCCTGGTAAGGTAAGGCTGCTCTCCCATCAGGGGGAGGTATTCAGGAGCCAGCCACTGAGTTCATGTCAGAGACAGTCCCTGTTCCCATTACTAGAGAACCCACTTTGATAATGAGCTGCCACGGGCTACATCTGTGCAGGGGTCTAGGTTATCTCCATGCATGGTTCTTGGTTGGAGTATCAATCACAGAAAAGAACCCTGGGCCCAGATTTCTAGGTTCTGTTGCTCACCTTGTGGAGCTCCTGTCCCCTCCAGGTCTTTCTATCACCCCCTTCTTTCATAAGATTCCCTGCACTCTACTCAACCTTTGGCTATGAGTCTCAGTATCTGCTTTAATACCCTTCAGGGTAGAGTCTTTCAGAGGCCCTCTGCAGTAGGTTCCTGTCCAGTTCCCTGTTTTCTCCCTCTTCCAGTGTCCAACCCGTTTGCCTTTCTGAATGAGGATTGATCATCTCTTTTTTTTATTTTTTATTAATTACACTTTATTCATTTTGTATCCCCCCCATAAGCCCCTCCCGATCCCACCCTTCCTCCCATTTCTGCATGTATGCCCTTCCCCAAGTCCACTGATAGGGGAGGTTCTCCTCTCCTTTCTGATCTTAGTCTATCAGTTCTCGTCAAAAGTGGCTGCATTGTCCTCTTCTGTGGCCTGGTAGGGCTGTTCCCCCCTCAGGGGGAGGTGATCAACGAGCAGGCCAATCAGATTATGTCAGAGGCAGTCCCTCTTCCCATTACTATGTAACCCACTTGGACACTGAACTGCCATGGGCTACACCTGTGCAGGGGTTCCAGGTCATCTCCACGAATAGTCCTTGGTTGGAGTATGAGTCTCTGGGAAGTTCCCTGCGTTCAAATTTTCTTGTTCTGTTGCTCTCCTTGTGGAGTTCTGTCCTCTCCAGCTCTTACTATTTCCCACTTCTTACATAAAATTCCATTCACTCTGCCCGACAGTTGGCCATCAGGCTCAGCATCTGCTTTGAAAGTCTGCAGGGCAGAGGCTTTCAGAGGATTGATCATCTTACCCAGGGTTTTTCTTCTTGGTTAGCTTCTTTAGGTGTACAGATTTTAATATGTTTGTCCTCTATTTTATGTCTAATATCCACTTATAAGTGAGTATATACCGTGTGCATCTTTCTGCTTCTGGGATACCTCAGGATGATCTTTTCTAGATCCACCATTTGCCTGTAAATTTCATGATTTCCTTGTTTTTGATTGCTGAGTAGTATTCCATTGTGTAAATGTACCACAATTTCTGTATCCATTCCTCAGTTGAGGGACACCTGGGCTATTTCCAGCTTCTGGCTACAAACATGGTTGAGCAAATATCCTTGTTGTGAGCTTGAGTATCTTTCGGATATATGCCTAGGAGTGGTATGGCTGGATCTTAAGGAAGCACTATTCCTAATTGTCTGAGAAAGTGCCAGATTGATTTTTTTTTTGAGTTAATTGTGTATCCAGCCACTTTGCTGAAGGTGTTTATCAGCTGTAGGAGTTCTCTGGTATAATTTTGGGGTGTTATGTATAGTATCATATCATCTGAAAATAATAATACTTGGACTTCTTTCTTTCCAATTTGTATCCCTTTGATCTCCTTTAGTTTTCTTATTGTATTAGCTAGGACTTCAACTACTATGTTTAATAGGTATGGAGAGAGGGGACAGCCTTTTCTTGTTGCTGATTTTAGCGGAATTGCTTTAAATTTCTCTCCACATTTGCTGTTGGCTATCAGCTTGCTGTATATTGCCTTTATTATATTTAGGTATGTACCTTGTATCCCTGATCTCTCCAAGACTTTTAACATGAAGGGATGTTGGATTTTTGTC